CTAGTAAGAGTCCTGACCTATGTTGATAATGTTATTTGTTAAATTCGAATTTAGCATTTTGAAGTTATGATATTGTTTGCATTTTCATTTGGGATATTGTTTGTTAAATTGACTTAGTATTGTGTTTTTGTTTTTATTGACTTTTCTTCATAATTTTTTTTTTCAATTTGACGGTTGGAGTTTGGACTTATAAAAAAAATTTATTGTCGTGGTTATTAACCGAACCGACTTACATGATTATGGGTTATGGTATGACCAAAAATTTGGTGGTGCGGTTATGGTTTTGGCCGAACTGACGCCGAACTGAACCGTTGCCATCCCTACATCACAATGTGTTGAGCCAAAATACCGATACAAGCCCGCACCGCTCTCCATGTTTTTAGGGAACCCGGACCAACCTTACATGGACCAATTTATGCAGGCTTGGGCAGTGGCAGTGAGCCATGCCGAAACCAGAGAACTTCAGGTGTTTCAGACCAAGGATGGCTCGACATTTTACCTTTTTCTTAAACTCCTCACTCAATGAAACTATGAAACAACATCATACAAGGAAGACCGCAAAATTAACGACATTAAAAGGACCTTACTCATAAATTCCGTCATTGCTTGACAGAATCTATTCCATTCTACACATGCCATCACCAAGAAGTTGATGACCAATTAGAAAACGTCATGCAGCAAGATTTCATTAAGTTTCGAGAGAAAATGACCTGGCTAAAATCAGATGGTGCTATTAACTTCGAAGACCTGGTAAAAATGTATACTGCCAACCCGTAAACTCAGGTGGAGCCAGCACGGGCGGCCATGCCACCTCGCCTGGTGCTGGCTCAGCCAGTCTGTACATCACCTATGGCCAGGGTAGTAACAATTCAGATCTTTCACAGTCAACCCGAGACCAGTTCACTGCTCTTCTTCAAGATTTTAAGAAGATTGAAAACACAATGCTACCTCCATACCAAGTTAAATCCACCAGCATGCATAACAAAAATGACTTGAACAAAACAGATACCGAAACTCAAGAGAGTGAAATGATGGTCAAAGAAATGGCAGGATACTCCTAAGAGGAAGATAATCAAGAGAAAGTACAGGGGGGTTATACAGACTGAAGAAGAGACTGCTTGCAGGTTGAAGCAAACGAAAATTAAGAACAGAGAGGCAGCAGCTAATGCACAAGCCAATAAAACAGGTAAATTTATTTTTGCTGCTATATTTCGAGTACTAGTAGGTATGTAGAATTGTTACACGGCCACCCTGAACTTCAATAGTCAAAAGAACTAAAAAGCCTATCCTGATGGTGTGTTACATAACGATTAAGAATTTCGCCAGTAAATTTTAGAGATAGAAAGACCAATTCAAAAATCAAGATATATAACTCATTCACGGCTCACAGATTAAAGTGGTCTAATAGGAAATTACATCTAAACAACAAACAATAATATGAGCGAACATTTAAGATGAGGGTTCTAGTAAAGACGCCTTAAGCTCTCTCTCTCTCATCAGACCAATGAAGTGCCCCTATGGACCCAGCTCCTGAAGCTTCGCAGGAAGAAAGAATTTAGGAAAAAATTGATAATGGTAAGTTTGTTCTTCGTTTGCATATTTGAACTTCATAATCTTGGCAAGAAATGCTAATTAGTGTTCCGTTGTCTAAGTTTCTGGAAGGTCACAAAAGGATCAATTTGCCTCTAAAACCATTTAGACGCACCATCTCAGGACCTATATCGATCTCAACAATGGACATGTGAAGTTGAAGTATATACAGTGAACCTGAACTTCATGGCATCACTCAGAAGAAAAAACCAAAAGGTGTACAAACTTCCATTGGAGATTTTCTATGTGATGAATTAATTGCAGAAGACACTACCTTTTCCAGTATTACACAATGAAACATACAAACATTGGGCTACTGCATTTGATGAAAGAATAGGTTATTAATTTCATTTGCTGTAATTTCCTATTTCCATATAGACAGCCTGGTAAATACCACATCGAAAAAGTTCATAACCAATCTACCATTCAGAAATACTCATTATGCACTACAGAACCATGTTTTCAACCATAAAACCCTCAAATGTGCTGAGACTGATTTAGATCCAACATCCTATGTTCATCATGAATGTAAAAGAAGTTGATCAAAACAACTGCGTGTATAGAAATGTATGAAATAAAGAAAATTAAATTAATTATAACTTAACACATGATCATGTTCAAAATATAAGAAGAATCCTCTTCAAAATCCTCCTCGTAGAAATTCAGGCCCACAATTCATAATCAAACCAAAGGTTCATGGAGACACATGACAGGTTGTAAGATGATTATAAAAGTACAACAAAAATTTCCATCCATGGGACAGTACCTGTTGCTGAATTAAAATAAAAAAATGTTCTCTTCTTGCTTAGCATCGTCATCTCGTCTTAATTCACAAACAAGCAGCTCATTCTGCCTAGCCAAATAGATCATCATCATTGTCGTCATCGTTATCTCCAGGGTTAATTTTGGGATTTTCACTTACAGAACCGGAAGCATTTCCTTCAGCATGTTTTCTAGGAGAAGCTTGTCTACCACCAGATCCAGCAGATGATAATGCCCAAGAAGAACCTACTTTGCCAGAAAATGATTCTCCATAAAGATCATCATACATACCACCACTCTTTGAAGGAGTCTTGACCTTATTCAAAACTTCTTGAAGTTTCTCTGTCACGCCTATTTGGGAGACAGAGACTTCCTTCACAGAGGTCTGTTCTGTCCCTTTCGGTATTACAGTGATCTGTACAAGGGATTCATATTTTCCAACAAGACTTCCTTCTTTAACACCCATAGGACCAGGCTCCGTCTCTACATCAGCCCCATCTGAAACCCCAACAACTTCAACCAGCTCCCCGCCAACCTGATCTCTAAATGCCACCCTGGTTCTCCTAATTCTCTTTGGTGCTCTCTCATTTAGCCGACTGTCATCCTTTGCACCTGATGAGCTACTCAATCCTGTGGATTTAAATAATATGTCAGGCCGTGTCAACCCATTCAAAAAACGATTAACGTATGTGTTATAAGCCAAAACCGCTTCTTCATCTGAAGGATCCGGCGGAGAAGGTAATTCAATTTCTGCGGGTTTTGGAGGTGGAGGGAATAGAGCAGCATTATTCTTCCTCAATATGTAAGCTCTCGTAGATGCAGCAAACCGCAGAGACTGTCCAACCTCGAGCTCAATAGGAGAATCTTTGGTTAATCGCTCATTTGCAACAAATGTACCATGTGCTGACCCCAAATCAATTACATATATACTGTGACAGATATATGCAACTGCGTCAGTGACAGTAAACGTAACTGTTCATTTGAATAAGAATATATTTTCAATTCTGAATTGTCCAATAAATGAGGAACTTCAAAAGCAACTTCCTATAAATTACTCTTCTTACTTTGTTGGCAAACAGAGATATAAAAATGTTGACCAAAGCACATACTTCTGTTTTATATTAAATTATGGAAGAATCATATGTAGATCACTAGAGTTACAGATAATATTGTAGGTACTAAACTGTTTACTTCATAGCAGGTATCCCAGTATTGCGAAGAGATTAAATTAACATATATTTTGATTTATTAGAGGAAGGACAGCTGAACATCCTACCGGTAATTCTAATGATCAATTTAATTTCTAGAAATCAACAACTATGCATTTCTCCACTATATATTTCGAGGAAAGCTTGACAGTTATAACATATGTTTGCAAAATCTACGAGGTGAAATCAAATAAAATATGCTAAAGCAGTTAGAAAGAACTATAAAAGAAAGCAAATAGAGTTACAAAAAGGTTATATATCAAACCTTCCATTTTTGTGAGGAACAACAGCAGCATGTTGGCGCGAGACAGACTGATGGTCCAGGACAAAATCACAAGTCGGAAGCTGCCTACCGAAGATATGCCTCCGCTTATCCAAATTAATCCGATCAAGAACCTCTCCATCCTTTAAAACGTCAAGATAATAAACACCAGGTCGTGGCTCAATAGCCCAATCAGGAGGCTGCCAGGTCGACTGGCCTCCTCCAACCTGAGTCATGTGCTGAGTAGGCACTGCAGTTGAGGCCATATCCAGGCCCACGGTTTTTTGCAAAACATTGTGTTGATTTAGGTATTGGGTTTGTGGAAAAGATGTTTGAGGATGATTGATTGGATCTGTGGAACGGAGAGCTGCATTTGTAGTCGCCGATGTGGTTGATTTAGCACCTGAATTTGTATTAACTGAGAATGGTTCCAAAGTCTCGGCTTTCTTAAAACGATCAAGACCTGATCTTCCATACATTGTTGTCAGCCTTATCTTCTCATACAAAAACGTTTCAAAACTCCAATTGAGTAATAAGTATACTTAATGACAGTTCCATAATGTAGTGCAAGCTCATGCAAGAAAACCAACCAATAAACTGATATTTGCTTCCTTCCCTTTTACTGATATCCCTCTAAACTAGACCCTAAGTTCAAACAGAAAAAGAATTCAAATAAAAATACAAAATAGATTTAGTGCTAAATTTACCGCTGCTCAAATAAAAAGTGTTCGTGATGGTGATGCTATGTACTGGAAGCATGAATGTGTGCAAGAAAGCTGAGTTCATAGAATAAAATAGAAAGATTCAATTCCGAAAAAAAGTATTCATAAATGAAGATCCCATTTTCAAATATTATTAATCGAGAAACATAATTCACACACTTCCCCATATACTTATAAATTAAAAACTGAGAAACTGAGTAAATCAATATCACTAAAAAGCTAGACATTAAAGCAACCAGTACTCAAATCAATTACACGAGCACAGATATCAAATTTTTTCAACACCGCAAATGAAATTAGTTCATAACATGCAATGTATATTAAGCATTCAGTTTGGGCAATAACATAATTATAAAAAATTGGGACAGCAAGAACACAGGATCTATAGCGTAAAATCTAGTAATTCTAAACGAGAAAAAACACTAACTTCCGTCCGAAAATAGTTCAATTTTTTTATTTGTTAACACAAAGTGTTTGCAGAGAAAAGGAGAAAGGAACGCTGTAAAATGAGACAGCGGCTTACCTGTTGCGGTGTTTTGCCTATTCTAGCTTAATTAAAAACTTTTACAAATAAAAAACTTCAAAAATTGCAGAAATTTGGACAGTCATTGAATCTTGAAAAGAGAACAGTGAGATGAAGATTGTAAATCGAAGACGAAGAGAGAGAAGTGGGGTTGCGAGGGTAAAGGAGGAAGATGATCCCAAAGTGCGATTAGTGGATAGTTGACTGTCTTGGGCTGGGCTTTGGAACTTCATTTTGGGCCAGAGCCTTTTTCTTTGGGAAAAAATTTATGAATCAGGCATTTACTTTACCAAAATAAAAAATCAGGTCCCCATGTTTAAAATTGCAAAAATCAGATTTTTTTTTGAATTAATTAATTATATTTCACAATTATT